CCCCGCCCCTCCGGCGGTGCCCTGCCAGCGGGGAGCGCGCAGCCCCTGGCTCCTCGTGCCCCCCGGCCCGTCCGGTGCAAGCAGGGAGCTGCCCGGATGAGGGGCAGGGAACCAGCCCCCCCCGCCCCGCCCCAGCATCCTGCCCAGCTTGGTCAGACCTGTCTGCTGCGCCCCGCGCCCACCCAGGACGCTTTAAGCCTCCTTGACTAAGGGAGACCTATGGGCACAGCCATCAGCTGTTTGCTTGGGACGCCTGAAAAAAAGAAAAGGGAGAGGGAGACCGCCCCGCACTCACCCCGTTGCCCCCCATCAGAGCCTTCTTCCTGGCCCTGCGTGGGGCAGCGTCTCCCCTTCATGGATTTCACAGACATTAGGGCTGGAAGGGACCTCAGGAGATCATCGAGTCCAGCCCCCCCCCCCCTGCCCAGGGGCAGGAAGTCAGCTAGGGTCAAAGGATCCCAGCAAGATAAGCATCCAAATGTCTCTGAAAGGAGTCCAGAGTAGGAGCTTGCACCGCCTCTGGCAGCAGTCTTTTCCAGACCTCGGGGGCTCGGACAGTGAAGAAGTTCTTCCTTATGTCCAGCCTGAAACGGTGTAGGAGGAGTTTGTGACGGTTCGACCTTGTCATCCCTTGGGGCGCTCTGGTGAACAGAACACCAACAGCCCCCACCCATGCCTCATGGTGGGCTGCATGGCCAGGCCACAGTGGCCATGAGGGCTGCTGGCTCCCACAGGGAAGCCAGCATTTTATTTTGGTAAGTTTTTTTTGGTGGGGGGAGGGTTGGTACTGTTACAACCCAAAGGGTGTGATTTTTGTTTTTGTGTGCGCTTTGGCACCACTGAATTATTTTCCCGACAAATTGTAGCTTTCTTTGCAAGGTGCATTTCTTGTTGCAGCACAGAAATGCTTGGTGCAAAGAGTTCCCGCCATTTGTATGATAATTCGAGCCCCATTATTGGATTGCGTTAAATTATTCACACGTGGAAGCTAGGAGTGCGGTTGCTAGCCGTATAAAAGGCTTGGGTGGTTTCCGCCCAAGTTGGGGAACTCCGAGGAGAACCCCCATAAGGGAGGACTCCACCAACACCAGGAGGAGGAGACTTCACGCTGTGTGAAGATCTCTAAGCGCTGCGGAACCTATTGGACCCAGTGCATTTAAAGCAGGCAACAGGGGTCTGATCAGCCTCTAGCCTCTCCCCGTCACCGAGCGCAAACCTCGATGTATCCCTCTCCCTGCGCGCAAAGAAAGGACCCACGGAGCCTAGCAAACTTCGTGTGAGTGAATTGTGATCAAATATTGTCTGAGTCCTCAAACGAAGATTTAAGCGGAGCTGTGCCTGGGGAACTGTCCAGCCTACACCGCAACCATCTTCGGTGTAAGTAAACAATCTTGAATCAACCATTACGCGTCCGTGCCTAATTCCAGCGTGTCACCTGTTCTCTCCGACCCAGCAAGCCCGGGCTGCTGGCCACAGCCCGCGCGGCGCAAAAAAGGGCCCGGATCGCTCCCTGCCACCCGCACATGGCGACGAGGATGGGATCTGGAGACGGCCCGCACAGGTACATTTCACAGACAATGCCCAATTCCACAATTCCTGTGAAGCTGCAATTTGAGTAGGTCCCTACCTATGACCCCTTTCTAACAGTCCCACACAAATGTCTGTTAACCAGCATTACAAAAAAAGAAGCTGGCTTCAGCCCAGGTCATGTGCTGGAATTTTAATGGTTTGAAGAAGAGCAATTACGCCCGAAAGCTTGCCAAGAACTTTTTCCCAACTACTCAGTTGGTCTAATAAAAGATATTGCATCTACTTAAAGAACCTGGACTGCCAATGTAAACATGAGATTTTTCCATGGACAATAATTTTGACAAGAATCCAGATTAGGCCAAGACACAGCATTTTCTGACTTTAATTCATGATCCAGCTGTTATTCTAGAGACAGAGCAGTCCCCAGCACCACACTGCAAAGCCAGATGTGTTCTAAAAGCACTGCTCAAACACTACATGGAGTAAAAAAATTGTCCTAGCTTCTGTAAGCAGGAAAAAACCAAAATAAAACATTACAATGCCTGTTTTTACTCTAAACTGTTACTCTCCAATGTGGCTATGACATATTTTGTTAAAGCTATTGAGAAACGGGGAAATCCACACAACTTGAGAACCTTGTGGGCAGGTTTGAGCTCTCTAACCAAGCTGCTAACTCCATTTTGGATATGCAGCCTTTCGCCTTCTCTCGTCTCTTTATCTCCATGGTGGCCTGAAATTATAAAGGGTGGTAGTTAATAATAGGTAATAGGTAAGCGCTAACCCACCAAAATATCCTTATCACCTTAGACAATAAGGGAGCTCCAACTGAAAAGAAAGATGGCTCAGGGGAAAGTCAACTTGGCAATGAAGTTCCCTGGCCGGGGACCAAAGGACCAAACAATGTCACAAACGAGTAGGAGCTGAGTGCTTTGGGGTCTCTCTCTAGCTAGGCTCAGCATGTGATGCTGAAGGGGGTTGTCTGCTGTCTGAGCCTGCTGGCTTCCTAAACACAGATGGAGCCCCAGACACCCTACAGCAGGGGTGAGCAAAATACAGGCCATGAGTTTCCTGTTTAAAGCAAAAATATAGACAAGACCTTTATTGCTGAGGAGGTTTATTACACCAATCCTTCACCATTACAAGATCTCCATTTCACAGCTGGGGAAGTTGAGCAACAGAGAACTGTTTGTCCAACATTATAGAGCAAGTCTGTGGCAGGGCTAGGAATAGAAACTAGTGAAGACAGATAAAGAAACGCTGGGTGTGCCTACACAAGAGGCCACTATGCAGTAACCAGAGTTCCTGTACAGCAGCGCCAGTGAATGTTTTTTAAGTGATGCTACTGCACAGTAGCTTAATAATACTGTACAATAATGTATTAGCACTGTCCTTGCTGTGACACACTACTGCACAGTATTATTCGACTACTGCACAGTCAGCATCTTGTGCAGATGCGCCCACTGTTATCTGGTTGGGTGCTAAAGTCCAGACTTGAAGAAAGCAACAAATATTCAAATTAGAAAAATCACTTTATTAATACTCTCTTCAAGAGCAAATCACTGCAATGCATTGTTACAAAGTCACAGGTCTAAGCATCAGGGTAGGACTAGGAAAATTGCTTGTAAAGGTTCAGATTTGCTAATTCATCTTATACAGATTCTTAGAGAAAATGAAATGCTCCACCCCTTACAGTGAGTCTGGGGCTCCTCATTGACACCTGCAGTAGACATGGGCATGTTCGACTATCTGCTGATGAGCTGGATCTAGATTGCTGACAGAAATCCAAGAATCAGATTCAGTGCATCAGTTAGTATTCCTCACATTTCTGCTGTAATATAGTTTGATGATAAACTGCAAATCCTAATACATTTAGTCACTAATCTAGAATATAATTTTTTACACTTGTTTGGTAAAACAGTTTTATGGGAATGTAAGATATAAAGTTATACACAAACATTTTCATCAGGTATAAATTGGTGATATATGCCAGCAGGAAGCATTATCACATCTCCCTTTTCCATGAAAATCTGGATCCATTGGTCATCTTCATCTCAAATGTCAAAGTAGCCACTTCCATTGAGGTTGTATTGATTTTGATCAGGTGTTCTTGGTAAAATATTTTTATCTAGGTTAGAAAGAAAGTTTCTTTTTTTAAATTTGTTGCAAGCAGAAATAAATCTAAGTCTGACCGTTCTACCGTGCCTGAGATTTTTCAAAGGAGTCCAGAAAGATACAAAACACTTTAAAAAAAGTATTATTGGTATTTTTATAATGCACTAAATGATGTTAACTGAACAGAAAGACCAAGCCAGGTTTAGCAGGAAAGCATCCATCAGGAGCTGGATATTTACCTTGGCTGCACCCAAAAAAGATATACGAGGGAAAAGGGGGAAAGGAGCTGGCCAGCCCCGGGGGCAGCACGGCTTGCCTCCCGAGGCCGCTGAGGGCGGCAGGACCTGGCAGGGTCCCGGCCCAGGGTGCGGGAAGCCCGGGGAGGCTACAGGAGCAAAAAAGCGGCTGTGGCTCCTGGCGCTACCTCCCCGTCAGTCCCGGGGCCGGG